TTTAAAAAAACAGAACATTTCTTTCTCCTGCATGGTTCCAAACAAAGTTAAGTAGCACCATCCAGTGGATGTATTAAATTATTGCACTAACATCTGTTAAACATTCCTGTCCTTGTAACTCTGTACATAAGTAGATTTACTTGGGCAAGTAAAATCAAACTCTCAGCAGCTATGATAGTTCCAAAGAAGCACAGTGTAAGAAAGACAATGCCTTTTGTTTGAACAAACTGATGGTTTAAAAGCAGGGTGCAAGTTTACAAATTATATATATAGAACCTTTTCTGAAGCTGGTTGTCCAAAAAACAGAAAGGAGGATTAGGAAAAATAGATGTTTCATTGCCACATAGTGATGTCTGACCTCCATATTCCAAGTGGCTGCCTGTGACTCAGGGGTAGGGAACATGATTCGTATGCAGAAGGTTCCAGATTCAGTCTGCAGTTGAAAGATCTCAGGTCACTGGTTTTAGAAAAGAGCATTCTCTATCCTAGATCCTGGAGACCAACTGCCAGTCAGAGTATATCTTTCTGAGATGGATAGACCAGTGATTTGTCTAAGTACAACACACCTTTATAGGTTTACAGACTTTTTTTTTTTTGCAGACCTGATGGAGGAGCTTAATGAGATTGTGATTATACATAGGGTTGCCAGCTCTGGATTGGGAAATTCCTGGATGTTTGCGTGTGGAGCCTTGGCGGAAGGCAGGGTTTGGGGGGGGGGGACCTCAGCAGGGTAATAATGCCTTAGAGTCTGCCCCCCAAAGCAGCCATTTTTCTCTAGGGGAAATGGCCTCTGTCACCTGGAGATCAGAGGTAATTCTAGGAGGTAAGATTTCAAGATTTTTTTGAAACATGTTCTCATCTTAATGTAGATATTTCACATGTGTGTTTTTAATTGGTTTTATGGTTATTAAAGCAGTAACGAACAAGGGTTTTTCCCCTGGTGCTGTTTTTATTCAAGAAAGTTGCTCTGTTGAGGTTTAGTGCATTATACTTTGTCTGCAATGCCAAGATATGTAGGTCTGAATCCCCACTCATGCCACGGAAGCTTGCTGGGTGACCTTGTGTAATGTATTCATATGCAGACATGGTACATGCGGATATGGGTGAATCATCCCATAGGGAAGCTATGCAAAGCTTCGTCTTGGACTAGGGCTTCAAGTCCAAGACTATTGGTCCAATCACGTTCAAGCGAACGGGAAGCGGGAACGTGTATGATTGGTCCTTATGCGATCAACCTGATAGGTTGTTGAATGTAAAGTAGGAGTGGCTATATTAGCAGGGAATGTTTAAATACCGAACAGTTTCTATGGACAAACTGTTCGGGCTATCAGATGTTGTACCGTGTTGGAGAAGTGAGCGTGAAGAAGAATAAACTTGAGTTTTGGCTGAAATCACTCTCTGACTCTTTGTTAAGCTCAGGACTTAACACCTTGAGCCAGTAATGCACTTTCAGCCTAACCTACCCCACAGGGTTGTTGTGAGGATAAAATGGAGGAGTGGAGAAGGCTGGAAGCCGCTCTGGGTCCCCATTGGGGAGAAAGGTGGGGGTATAAATGAAATATACAAAAAAATTGAAAGAAACTTCTATCTGCATTTTAAAATCTCTCCTCTGTTTCCACACCCATATGTCTTTTCTAAGAGTTGATTTTCAAAATCCTCTACAAAATTCTCTCTTAATCATTAAACAGCAGCATCTTAAGGTAAAGTAATTTGGACTTCACCAGCTGACTGATTGGCATGTGACTGGAGTATCAAAATTGTTAGGTTCGTACTACTGAACCTAGGCAGATGAAATTTTGTGTTCAGTTATCCCAGATGTCCGAATTGCTTTTTTTTAAGTGGAAAATGAGACTCCCCCTGTAACATTCAAAACACTTGGCACAAAGTTTACCTTTTAATATTCAGTCGGAGTCCAGCAGAGTGCTTAATCCAAGTCATACATGTGACAGAGTACAGCGATAAAGTTCTTCTTCCATACATTGGCACCAGCTTGCAATTGGAAGAGAGGTAATTTGCATAGTTCACTGGCAGCGTGAATCTGAAAGCAGAACAAGCTACATATGTGAAGGAGGGGGGGCTACTGGAGTTTCACCTTTAAACATTTCAGCATCCTTGGGTTGACATGTGCCAACATATCTGTCCTCAGACAATGCAATCTGTATTTATTACTAGTATTGATAGAGGTGGTTGTATCAGTACAGGTAAAGGTAAAGGTTTCCCTTGCTTGAAAGCCAGTCAAATCCGACTCTAGGGATGCGGTGCTCATCTCCGTTTCTAAGCCGAAGAGCCAGCGCTGTCCGAAGACGTTCCTGTGGTCATGTGGCCGGCATGACTATATGCCAAGGCGCACAGAATGCTGTTACCTTCCGACCAGAGTGGTACCTATTTATCTACTTGCAATTTCTTGCTTTTGAACTGCTAGGTTGGCAGGAGCTGGGACCAAGGACGGGAGCTCTCTCCAACATGTGGCACTCGGGTCTCGAACTGCTGAACTACCAACCTTCCGGTCTGCAGTTCAGCATCTTAACCACTTGAGTACAGGTAGAGACATACATAAAACACATGGTTTTTTGTTGTTATGTTTCAAGCTAGTCTTTGTGCAAATAGCAATCAGATTTGTTAGTGGATAGGGCTGCAGTCCTAAAAAAACTTTCCTGGAAGCCTCTTAATATATATAATCTGGATTAAAATGAAAACTACTTCCAAGTAGACCTGCTTTGGATAGCTCCATCTGAAGAATGACAAATATGGTGCTAATATTTTTGTAAGCAATATTACAAACAGATTATACATTGAAAATGCTAGCGGTTTCATATTTGGCCATCCATTTTATTTATATATATCCTATCCTATATTAAGATCTCATTTCAGTTTTCTGCGAAAGAGATAGTTTGCATCACTGAATCAGCCCACAATGTGGACAGAACATCTTTTAGCAATCCTTTACCAATAACTCAAAAGTATCTGCATAGCTGATCTGTTGGTCATATAGCGAACAAACGCCTGTCCCCTTAGAGAAGGCCGACTCACCCCTAACTTGCTTGTTATATCATTCAATAAAGTTTACATTTCTGTATAGTGGAGTATGTTGAACGGATGCCCTCTTGTGGCAGAAAGTTTATTACGTGAGGGTGAATTTCGCATTGCTCAGCTTGAAGATACAGGTGCATAAAGTGATACACCAAGGAGCATTCTTATTCTTTCCCTATTTGCTGAGTATTGCACAGTATTAGCAAAACCATTTTCAAAAGTCTGCACCAAGGTATCTCACATACACAACTCTGAAAAACCAAATAATCTCACTTTCCCCAGTGACTGTATACTTTATTGGTAGATCAGTAACTGTGGCTGCCTGCCTTGCCATAGCAAAGGGACCCCCTGTTCACTGCAGTTAAGCCTGCAGGAAGGGGAGAAATGCTGGCAGAGGAGAAAGAGGCATCGACAGACTTGGCATTTCAAAGCTTCAGGGTGGTGCTTATGTGATGGGCTGTGGGAAGGACCCATTTCCCATCCCAGGACTACCCAGGGCCAACCCTGCTTAGCTTCTGAGATCTGACGAGATCGGGCTACCCCAGGCCATCCAGTTGGACCCGACAAACTCTGCATAGCCCTTTAATGGAAACTGCTGTCTTTCGTGGTGATTTTGCACTACATCCAAAAGAAATTTCTTGTTTCAGTGGGGAACTTGTCTTCTCAGACAATGGGTGATGTATCCATTGCCGCTCATTGACCACCTGACTCTCTATGTCAATTTCCCTGGGAATCACCGTGGAAACTGTTACAAGTGTCACTCTGTCCACACTGGTTTGAAAAGCTAGAATGTTAAACCACTACCTTAGCTTATTTACTCCCAGCAATCACTGTCTGCCTTGCCTTTCTTCTGCAGTCGTTTGTTTCAGACCTTGATTCTTCCTGGCCGAGGACTGGGAAATGGGAAGGAACTGAAGCAAGAGAATGCATTTTGTTGCCCAAACTGGCTCCCATGCCAGACCTCTATGTGTGTAGAACTATATGTGTGTTCCAGGGCAATTATTTGCTGCCATTGCAGTCCGTTGTACAACAGCATCCCTTTCTAGCACAATGCCCCTTAGAGAGATGAGAGAGGAGAATCTCAAATAAGAAAATCTTTACTCCCTTTAAAAAGGTACAAAGCTACAAAGATGAAGTGCAAAGGAAAGTAAAAGCACAAAACAACATTGCAATACAGTAAAAAAAAAAAAGTCCTAGCAATGCTGCCCTTGGTTGTTGTCTAATCGAGGTGCAAATGGGAAGTCTAAGGGGAAATAAAGGGAGAAAGGATGGTCACACATTGCCTGTCCCAGAGAGGGAGTCTGATATGTGGAAGTCTGGGGCAGGAGACGGAGAAAGAAAAGCTGGCCCAAAATGGAAGTTCCCATGGCAGAAGAAAAGTCCTGAACCAACTATGATGTTGGGGATCCAGACAAAGCATAAAAATCCAGGAACAGAAGGAGGGGAGTTCAGCAAGGATGGATGAAGGTCCAGGAAATAACCTACCTGCAAAGATGGGGAAGGAAGTTTTGGTGCAAACAGCTACCCTGTTTATACGATCTACCCCACAACAGACACCCTGTGAGGTAGGTGGGGCTGAGAGAGCTCTGAGAGAACTGCCTTTTCAAGGACAGCTCTTGTCAGAACTATGACTTGCCCAAGGTCATCCAGCAGCTGCAAGTGGAGGAGTGGGGAATCAAACCCGGTTCTCCCAGATTAGAGTCTTTAATCACTTAATCACTACACCAAACACTACACTAAACCACCAAGCTTCAACAGTAAAAACAACATCAACTAACACATGAATCATAACAACCAACATACGAGGGTGGGCAAGCCGGCAAGCCAGGAAAAGAGGCAGAGGAATGTGGGCCTGCTTAAGTAGCCCCTGGGCACCTGCGGCCTGTGCCCGCCCTCTGACGTGCTGCATGACGTGGCACGCTGAGGGGAGAGCCAGCTCAGCCCTTTTGCATAGCCTGAGGGGGCCATGAGGCCAAACAAGCCCCCTTCCAGCCTCCCCTGCCTCCTGGACTGCAAACAATGGCTGAGGTGAGTCTCTAGTCATGCTTTTAAAAAGCAATCGTAAAAGGTTTTTTTGCAGTTTAATTTTGAAGATAAGCAAAAGTGAGCCTTTAAACCTTATTCAGAATCTTGCCCATTCCTCTTAACGTTTCTTTATGTCTTCCCCCCCATCTGCAATAGCCTCCTTGCTCAGTCTGGATTAATACTTTTCACTGCAAACAATTAAACACACACACACACACACACACACACCACAAAATAACAGGCAGTTAGGGACAAAAAAATTGCTCCCTGGCATGGACCTGGTGTCTCTTTTTGTAAAAATTATCATCAGTCGTGGTACTTCAATGGTTTCTGACAGGAACAGACAGATTAGCTCATCAGCCATTCAAGATGGACATGGGTCCAACTCTTAGAATGTCTCTGGAAGATATCCCTATGATAGATTGCACAGCTATGTGATAAATAACATTTATCGTGCACCTTTTTCTGGCCCACCTGCACTTTGCCCATCCATTCATCCATCTCAGCCAAGGTTACTCCTAACAAGCTACTTTGGGCCTACTTGGAAGCTTTGTACTGTTTTACAACAAAAAGATTAAAAAAAAGAAACTGGTAAAGCCTTTCTTCCGTTTTTCTCTCATACAGTATGCAAACTCAGTTGTGCACCTACAGAATATGACTGATGCCGGTCTACGTACTACAGTTGCCATGTGCTCCTGAAACAACTTCTGTTTGGTGGCCCTAATGCATATTAGTGGTTTCCTATGCAGAATTCTCGCACTCACATAGAGAACGTCCACACCCATCGACGGATGGGTGCTTGTGGTAGCAGCTGGTGATCGGGTAGAAACTCTCTATGCCAGGCAGGTAGTCCTTGTAGAGAGACTCTTGGCATACAATGGCTGTTTTGTGTAGCATCCTGGCTTGATCCATGAACAGGGCAGAGCTTGTGAAGCAGGACTTCCCTATACCACTCCCTCCCACTAAATCCCACTGATCTGCTCCCTCCAAACATTTTTGTTCCTGGGGGTCAGCTAAGGTTGCCAACTCTGAGTTGGGAAATTCCTAGAGATTTGGGGGCAGAACCTGGGAGGGCAGCGTTTGGGAAGGGGAGGAGAGGGGTCCTCAGCAGAGTATAATGCTATAGAGCCCCCAACCTCCAAAGCAGCCATTTTCTCCAGGGGGCCTGATCTCTGTAGTCCGGAGACCATTTGTAATCCCGGGAAATCACCAGGCCCCACCTGGAGGTTGGCAACCCTACAGGGTTGTTGTGAAGCTAAAATGGTGAAGGAGAGAATGGTGCATATTAAGCTCTTTGGAAGAAGGGTGGGATAGAAATGAACCAATAAAAGAACTGAGTAAATAAAACAAGCCTTGAATTTTTGTCTGAAGAAACAGCATCTGGATTCACTTTGGAATTTTTTTGGGGGGGGAACCCTGATATCAGTTTGACAGTTCTGAGATGTACAGAAACCTGCTAAGGATTATGGTTGTATTATGGTAGTATCAAAATTATGTTTTTACCTTCCCTTCCCTCAGAATTTTTATTCACCTGAACAGGAGCCAGACTCTCTTAGGTAAATCTTTCCAGCTGACCATATAGAATCCCTTCTTCCTTTCTGGCTCACTGTCTGACCCTACCTTAATAGTCTTATCAATTTCACTTACTGGATCTCCAACCAGCTTTCATCAGTGGCTGATTATTCCTTGTGGACTCTCCCCCCCCCCTGCCCCCAACTTGACTTGCTGGTTGGGCTTGTACCATCCAAGGAACCGCAGATGTCCCCAATTCCAGACAGTGAAATGCTGAAAAAAATACATAATATATTTAAAAAGAAGCCTGTCTCCTTTTTCTGTGTCACTTGAAAGATCAAAATTAGTTTTATTTATCCTTGACACCAGGCAACCAAATCTAGACTCAGAAACAGATGATCCAGTCATAAAAGCTGGATAGGTAGTAACCATACCAGAAGTGGCAATTTTCAGTTTCTAACAATCCATGTCCAATCCTTCAAACTGAAGCTTTATCGTGCCTCTTTGGGTATTTTTTTTTCTAGAGAGCAGAAAATCCTCAGTAGGAAATGCTATTTAAAGTCCCTGGCCCAATATTGAATCCTCTGATTTGGCAGTGGCAGGTTTCAGCTGCATTTTCTGGGCAGTAACTAACTCAGCAGCAAATTTACTCTTTTTTAATACAATGGCAGCGGTACTTGGAAGTGAGAAGAATGAGTGTGGTCCGTGCCAAAATTTAAATGGAAAAAAAATCTAACTATAGTTGGTCTTTAAAAAAAAACCCTTGTTGACAGCCCATAATACTTGTACATAAGAGACGAGAGGTTGCGGGAGTGAACACAAGGCTCCTCTGAAACAAATTATCAGTGTGTCCTGGAAATGGCTTGGTCAGAAACGAAAGAATAAGGATTGGCTTAGTGCTTTTACAGGTCCATCAGTTCTGTGATCATTCTTCTCAAATGATTTCACCAAATTTGCAGACAGGTGTGTTCCAACAGAATGGTTAAGAAAGACATAAAACATTTTGGAGGTGCACATTTTCTGCCAAGTATTAATGGAGAAAAATTATACAGCCAACTTAATACTTGGTTCCTACATTTGTCCGAATGAAACCACTCTGGTAACATGGAAATGATGCCTGAGTTAACTCCTCTAAAATGATATGAAATAAATTCAGATTTTTAGGGTGGTGCCTAGGGATAACTGGAGTTCCTTTTGAGTGAACTGTTTTTTAAACACTTGGAAACAAAATTTACCTCTGATCTCTTTATCTCTTCCTGTTATATGTAATTGCTTAGAAAACATCTTCCAAAAGGAGTGGTATTATCAGTTTATGGGACATTCAAGTGTCTAGCAGAACTAGAGCAGGACCAGATTTTTTCTGTTATTTCCAGTCTTCTACTTTTAAAAATAAATCTTATTTTTTAATAGTCTGCATTGTTTTGTGGACAGTCTTTATGAACATGAACACATGAACCTGCCTTATACCGAATCAGACTTCTCATCCATCCAAGGCCCATTATGAACTGACAGCTTACTCTGGAGATTCTGAGCAGTCAAGCCTTTAAGCTTGACTTTGGACGTGTTTTCCTGCCGTTCGCACCATTCTTTTTTCTCCATTGTATTCTGTACCTTTATTCTGCACCTACAACCAAAAAACTCAGTTTTTCTTAATTGTGGTGAGAACGTCACTTGTGACATGGGAGGGGTGGCATCCAATGTTTTTTAAAAAAATTATTAAAACAAGGAGGTGCCATTGTAGTGCTAGGCTTCCGGAGATTGCCAAAATACTCCCCCCCCCAATTGTTCACTAAAGCATTAAATGGAAAAAGGTTTACAAAGCTTTCCCATCCAAGTGTCTCTCTGTCTTTACAAGTAAGGTCAATTCCATTCCATGCTGATGATCCCCCTTCCACCACTCACTTCTCCATGCCCGCGCCAACTCCCACCACCAACTCAGGAGGCTACTTTGGCACTAGCACCCCCACTCCATGCCCACAGTAGCTGTTGCCATGCCCCAGCAAGGTGGTGACTGGAGGAGTGGCAAGGCCCTGCGGGAGCCCACTGAAGGTGCTCAGGGTCGGGGGTCCCAGGCAGGTGGCAGAGCAGCTACCGAGGTTCTCAAGCAGAAAATTGCCCTTTTCCCTTGGCCCCTTTCCTCGGGTGAAAGTATGGGCATGATGCAGAGCCCTTAGAAGCCGTGGCTTTCCAATTGGGCAGTAAAGAGGCGCCGTGGGACTGGAGCTCCTGGACAGCTCCCATGAGCGTGGGGTGGGGCTCAGCTTTTGCCTCTTTCCTCCCATGTGAGGCACTCAGAGCATCTCATTTCTTAGCAAGGGGAAGGAGCAGCAGGATAAGTGAGGCTGCCTCTGGAGGCACTGCCGGTACCAGCTGTGGCGCCATGGGGGAGGTAAGGTGGGGAGCAGGAACAGCCACTGTGAAGCTCACTTATCTTTTTGCCAAGATGTAGTAGATTCTCTGTGGTTATATGTATAAAACCACACGCGCACACACACACATACACACACACACACGAGGGGGAAATGGAACTTGTACTCCAATGAAGGGGGAGGATGGCCGAAGGTGCAGGATGGGTGGAAGGACCTCAATGTGGGCGGTGGGCCGGCCTCCGAGGGATGGGGAAAGGGTGATGGGAATCTGAGGGAATCTGTATGCTTTAGAAGTAAGGCAGGGGAAACACCAGCACACAACCACTCTCAGAAAACCCAGGCAAACAGCGAACGAAAAGTGAAATGAGTGCTGAAGGGAGGAAAAACAATGCAGAATGAATCCTCCCCCCCGACACACATGCACAACGAAAGTGATGGGAATGCAGAACAACAAAACCCAATTGACCTGCACAGTGACAGTGAGGCAGAACACCAGTGCATAATAGGCCAAAGTCAGTATTGTCTACTTTGACTGGCAGCAGCTCTCCAAGGTCTCAGGTGGAAGTCTTTCACATCACCTCCTACCTGATCTTTTTGGCCGGAGATGCTGGCAATTGAACCTGGGACCTTCTGTATGTAAAGCAGATGCTCTACCACTAAGCCACAGCCCATCCATGCTTACTTGATTTATTTATTTATATTATTTATAGTCCACCTTTCCCACCTGGACTCAAGGCAGATTACACAGAGCGAGTCAATACAATCAGCAGGATGGGGCATTCAGTAAACAATGCAATAGGATTAAGGTTATAGAACCAAACAGAAATTTGAAAAACAGAAATGAAGCAAAGCGTAAAAAATGACATGACACATTAAATGAAGCAAAATTGCACAGTAGGATCCTACTTACAGCAAACTGTGCACAGTAGTAAAGACCGCAGACCCTAATAATTTATCCAAGTTAACTTTGTGAATCATTTTGTACAGTGCTGCCCTATGAAGTGCATGGAAAAAGCCCCCTTGAATAACTCAGTTTTGCATAGTTTGCAGAAAGCCAGGAGAGTGGGAGCCTTCCTGGCCACCTCAGGCAGGCCCTTCCACAAGGTGGGGGCCACAATGGTTGAACACACACATAGGGGCAGTGGTTGATTTTGCCCATTTGCAGGTTGGCACCTGCAGAAGATCCTGCTCCAATGAGTGAAGCTGTCCTGGTAGAACATAAGGAGAGAGGCGGTCCTGCAGATATGAGGGTCCAAGGCCAATATTTTAAATTTAGCCCAATAAGTGATGGGCAGCCAGTGAATTGACTGTAGAATGGGAGTAATAAGTCTGCTCCATCTAACTCCTGATAATAGTTGAGCTGTGGCATTCTGCACCAACTAGAGTTTCTGAGTTGATTTTGAGGGGATACCAATGTACAGTGCATTACAGTAGCGTCGTCTCAACGTTACCGTGGCATGGATCCAGGTGGCCATATCAAGGTAAGGGGCCATCTTTCAGGCTAGGCTGAGTTGGAAGAAAGCCTTTTTTTTTTGCAACTGCATTAACTGAAGAAGTGTGCATGCACATGGAAGCTTATACTGTGAATAGAACTTTGTTGGTCTTAAAGGTGCCAGTGGACTCAAACTTTGTTCTGTTGCTTCTCCAGTAATAAAGTTGGGTATATTCCCAAGGTTCTTAACTGAGTCAGCAAGGATCAGCTGAACTCCATCAGAAGTGGGAAGCACAATGTCCTTCCAGATCTCTGCCTTCTCAACCAGCATTACTTCCGTCTTTCCAGTGTATAGTTTACTCTTAGCCATTTAACCACAGCAGCCAGGTAGCAATTAATAATAGTTTGGGTTTTTTAATGGCTTGTTTTGAATTGTTAGCCACCTCAAGCAGGACTCTGAAGAGGTGGCATAGAAATATCTATATATCTAATAAGCACTCTCTTGTTTCTGTGTGGATACTTATTTCCACCAACAGAGGGCTCACTCTCCCCCAATAGCTTTTCCTACATACTCAGGAGCCTTCCTGGGACTACAGAAAAATCCAAAAAGTTAAAAAAAACCCAAACCCTTCAGTGATGATTGAATTCCCACCCCCAACCTTTTGAAATGCCCTCCACAGGGATCTACTGCCACTCACTCAAGGGAGGATTTGTGTTGTTCCTTAGATAATTTATACTACAAATATCACCATATTGATCATATTCAATCAGATAGGTAGGCCCAGAGTTGCCAAAAATGGCAAGCATATGCTCTCCTAAGCCTGTTCACTTAGAAGTTTCATTGACCCAAATGGGACTTACTCCCTACTAAGTGTGTTTAGGATTGCAGCCATAGTGTGGGAGCTCCAGGCAGTAATTTGATTACTCCCAAATGACTCCAGCTGCTGGTGCAACTTTAAGCAGCTTTTCTGTCTATAAACAGCAACTTACATTAGCTGGTGGAGGTAGCCTGGAGTGTAAAAATCATGGGAAATGCTCACTTGCTCCTTAGTGTGTCTACCCTATAGGAATCACCATGTTGCTGTTTTTGTGCATGTAATGGGATATATGAAGTTATAGACCCATATTTCGTTGGGTTATAGACCCATAGCTAGTTGGGGTTGCTTTCTAGTTTTATTTGGATTATGTTTTTAAACTGAGATTTGTTAATGTTAACTGTTGTTAGGTGCCTTGAGACTGCCTGGTAGTGAGAGGTGGCATATAGATCTAATAAATAAATAAATATTATTCAAGGGCGTTATTCCTAAGCATACCAACAAAAAACATGTTTTTTAAAAAAAATAACATAAATTTACGCTTGTAAAAATATGTATTTCAAGTCCAAAGTAAAAAATACACATTTTCAACTCAACCCTACCAGAAGTTTATTTATTCAGAGACTTATATCCTGCTTTTGTCACCATTGGGGACCCAAAGTGGCTTACAACATCATCCTGCCCTACGTTTTAACCTCATTGCAACAATCCTGTGAGAGCAGGCCATGCTGAGGGAGCAGAGTGCCTGGTCGAAGGTTACCCAGTGAGCTTCCATGGCAGAGTGGGGATTTGAACCTCCCAGAACCTAGTCTGACAATCACTATGTCGCATTTGTTCTTTTTGCTTTGCAAATAGTCCAGTGAACTCCATGCTCTGAAAAAGATTCTTACGCTGGCAAAGAGAGGTAACCCAGATGACCTTAAGCAGCGGCTGGACAAACACTTGTCAGGGTTGCTCTAGGGCTGATCCTGCATTGAGCAGGGGGTTGGACTAGGTGGCCTGTATGGCCCCTTCCAACTCTGTGATTCTGTGATTCTTTCAGGAATTGTTGGGAGACATGGGCTGAGCAAGCACAATAACAGATAACTGGATGGCATCTAAAAGATTATAGCAACCATTGTTTCGCGTGATCATCTCAGAAATCCTAACTGAGAAGGAAGGCACATGTGAGGAAATACCAGGTGAAGAATTCCTGCGGAGAGACTGCAGAAAACCTTTAATCTCCCAGGTTCGTCTCCGCTATAGTGATGTTTCAAGGCTTAGTTGAGCTTTTAGGTTTCAGGATTTTCAGTCCTGCACAGAAGTCAGCCCTGACAGAACAATTTATCAGTAGAGTAAGTATTCACTAATATGTGTAATATTAATGGCCATCTCCTTTTTATGCATTTTGGTTTCTTCGTATCGGATTAAACATTCATATACCATACAGTGACCTCCTCATGGTAACTGGATTTTCTTTAAGTAAAAGCTCAGAGGGAGGGGGAGAAGTGTGGTGGGAGAAGGAAATTGACCGTAGCTTTTTTCCTGACAATAAATTATATCCAGTCCTTAGATTAGTCACACGAGGCCGGAAGATCGCCCAGCCCCAATATGTCATAATGGGTTGTGGCATTATACCAGCATCTAGAATCCTTGCATCCTTAGGATAGTAGATGGCCAGATTTTTGAATTTACCTTTTAGTTTGCTTTCACTGTAGATATGAAGCTTCCTCCCCCTCCCTTGCCCATGTAGGACTCCCCTTGTGAGACACTGACGTAACCTCATAAATTGCTGGACTCTTATCTTTACCCTTTTGTGGATACGAACAGAAAGCATGCACAAATGGGTTGGGGTACCATCCCTATGAGGAACGGCTGAAGAGTCTGGGACTTTCCAGTTTAGAAAAGAAACAACTAAGAGGGGACATGATAGAGGTTTATTAAATTATGCACAGGTGGAGAGAGTTGACAAAGAGAACTTTTCTTCCTTTTCCCCAAAGAACTCAAAGGCATCCAATGAAGCTAAATGGGCAGAAGATTCAGAAGAAGATTCAGGACGGACAAAAGGAAGTACTTCTTTACACAGTGAGCGATTAAAATGTGGAATGTGGAATTTGCTTCCAGAGGATGTAGTGATGGCCACAGGCTTTAAAAGGGGATTAGAGAGTTTCATGAATGATAGGTCTATCAGTGATTGCAAGTCATGGTGACTAAAGGGAACCTCCACGTTCAGAGGCAATATAAACCTCTGAATCCCATGAGGCAACACTAGGGAAGGCCTCAGCCTCTATGCCCTGTTGTTGGACTTCCAGAGGAACTGGTTGGCCTCTGTGTGACTACGGATGCTGGACTAGATGGATTGCTGGTCTGATCCAGCAGGACTCTTCTGTGCTCTTAAATCATAATTTATCACCTTGACCTCAGCACAATGAGATCACTGCAAACTCTGGAGAGCCAAACTCTGGAAAGCCATTGGGTGGGTTGTACAGTATTTCCAGATCACTTATGTATCTCCCAGCATAACATGTAGTTTGGCCTTAAGGCCTGGTTCACACATGCAATGGAATGAGGTGGCAATGAGGTGGCAGATGCAAGATGGCAAGACTGAACCACACCACTGCACGTAAAGACCACATGTAGAGGATCACAGAGGATCACATTCTCAAATGTTTCCTAAAAACTCCTTTCAAATAGAAAACCAGCACAGCAAGCAAAGAGACTGTGTATGCTTTGCCTAGAGCCAGGTATGTTTGCCTAGAACTTTGTTTTATATGAAAGCATGCTCAAAGGTGGAATCTCCCATCAACAGTCTAAAGTGCTGCAATCCATTCTGCCCTCTGACTGTCACTTCATTGTCTTGCCCATGTGAACTAGGCCTGAGACTTCAGGACGGGGCTAGCTACATATCTGAAAAAATGGATAACTTTATGCTCTTGGCCCTACCGCTATCCTACTTTAAGCAAGTGCATTACAGAAAAGACGTGATTTTGAAAAGGAATGAGGTCCTGTCACCTGCCTATGTATGATTAGCAGAAGAAAAAATGTGGGTGCTGGAGACTGTAAAAGGGAGCAACTGTTGCTATACAAGGGAGAACTAAAATCTGCATTTGTTACAGACTGAATGCAAACTATGTCATTATCCCATGGATATGATTTGTCCCCTTCAGCTCAGCTCTTTGGATTACCTAAGAATGAAAGCTGCTGTTTCCTGTCTGTCAGGTCCTGCATAAAGCAAGACCTTGTTTCCAATCCAATCCTTTAGACAAAGCAAAACTGCATACCATATTGGTTTGGGAGCCGTGCAATGATAAATTCCCACCGTGTTTTAGTTGCCGGATTTGGATCAAGCTTTATTGAAAATGTCCAAATGGTTTGAGAATCAGGTAACACCTGGCTTACCCATAAAGAACACTACTGCTGCTGTTCACAAAGATCTCACAACACTTTATATTGCTTTACTATATTAGAGAGCAAATTGCCCTTGCAAAGCAAAAAATCAAACTAGACCCTTAATGAAAAGGCACTCAAATCCACTTTTGACTGCAGCCCATAAGATACAAGTACCTCTGGAAAGTGGTTTCTACATGAAACAAGATTGCCAAATATATTGTTGGTCATTTCTGGGTCCAGGCGTTTTATCGTTATCAGCCGAGCCATTGGCTGTTCAGTTTTTTTTTAAAATTATTATTGGTGAACAAAGTAGGTGTAGCCCAATACAACACTGAAACGGCTTCTACAACTAAATAATTGTTTTAACAGAGGCAACTCTATAGCCAGCAGTTATTGATGCATTGGTACATTCACTCCCTGCCTGCATATGTGAACGTGTTTAAAACAACATTGTCATTATGCAGATGAAACACTGTGCTCATTGCAGAAGAAACAGCAGCGGCATCTGGCCTTAGTAATGCACACTTCACAATTCATATGAAGGGAGAAGTTCCTACAGAGATTATATTAGTAAATTATACAGCAAACATGGTTATTCATTGTATCTTGAGGGCTTGGCTTTGGATCCGGATGGTCCAGGCATACATCTACCAAGCCGTAGTACTGGATGAACACTCATTCCAACAGGATGTCCCTAGGGACCAGTAGAATTGCATGAATGTTGCTATTCCACACACAGTATATAGCTGTTATCCATGATCCACCCATTTCACCATGCCAACTGGAAATTAACAGTCTGATTGACAGAGGCGAGCATACACAGAGAGACTTGATTTTAAAGAGATTGCTTTAAAACAAAACACCCCCACCCATTTGTAGCTATTTGACAATGTACCTATTCTTTTACTGTGGTTTTTTGGTGTCATGGGCTGCATGTCACCCTCAAGACACAGATCATCTTCCATGTGGTTCATTGTCGGGTATTAGTTGGGACTCTGGTCCCAACAGGAGAGTTCCTTTCCCACACAATAAATGAACTAGGTGGATTGTTGACCTGATAACTGTGCCATTTTGGACATTCCACTAAAGATACAGCTGTGAGTGAGCTCCGCTTCCACTCCCGTATTTGCATCTGCGTGTGCCTTGTTGAGAGATGCAAAACTCCCCAGTTCTCACAAGAGATCGAAGTAGTGGCAATGAAGGCAATCTGCTCATGTTTCTTTCCCCTTCTGCAGAAAGTGTTAAGCAAAATCAGACAGATTTCTTAGAATTTTGTATCTTCAGGTTCTGGATGTTCACTATCACATAGCCTTGAAAACTGCTGTTATTTAGTGGCTAGAAACTTACCACCTTTGTAAAATGGGTGATACAGTTAACCATCCAAAACCCAAAACAATGCATGTGCTGCTTTCTGCCCACAACTGTATGTGTCTGCAGCACTTTTGAAGGCCATGCAAACTGCAGTCTAGCTAAGACCGCAACAATTGCCTTCATTAGCAGATACAAGGCAGCCAGTCCAATATTCTGTTTCTAATAGCTGCCTAGCTGGTCCTTTTGGGAAGCTCAGAAGGAATGCATGACTGTGGCAGCGAAGTCCCTGATGTTTCCCCCAAGCATTATGTTCATTATTTATGTAGGGCTGTCACTGTACATGGTGCTTCGCAGAGTATAATAAAAAAACAGATATGGTCTTGCCTTGAAGAGCTTACAATTCTACAAGTGACAGGAAGGGACGAAAGAGTGAGGCAGCTACATATATTCAGGTTTCATTTCGTCTGAGGCTGAGGGGGTAAGTCATGGCTACTCTGGCCTCTGACCAAGGGGATTTGGCTTACCCATTGGCATTGGTCGATCTACCTTTCATGAACATGTCTAATGCCCAGAAGAGTTCCTGTTAAAATTAAGGTCTTACGTGGAGGGCATGAGGGAAAGAAGTATTTTCTCTTAACTTTTCAAAAAAAAATAAATCAAAATATATATGCTTTTGCTAACGGTCAAAGTCTTGTTACCATTTCCCCCCTCCCCAAATGAAGCAATTCAATCCATGCTTAATGTGACTATATATATTCACTCTAGTAAACCTGAAGCTGCCTGATTTGTCGCTCATGCATATATCTATATTCGGAAAAGTGGGTAAACACTGCATGGAGTATATTTTGTGCTTCCCTGGTCTTGGACAGATTAGCAGAAATTAAATTTCACACTAATCTGCCCAAGACCATGAGTGCCACATTAAGATCTAGGGTAGTCAGTTAATTGTAAAAAAATCCTTCTGTTTGTGTTATTCATAGAACTGGTGACTTGAGTGTTGTCCTCTGTAACTGTGTACTAGAAGACTGTCTGTTGTCCCACTATGTGAGTTATCTTAAATGTGCTAAGGGCTGACCCTCCCCCCCAAAAGAATTTTCCATTCCTTCTAGTGGCTAATGGCTCTCCTTTCTCTTTCCTGTGTCTCCCTCTGTTAAATCTTGGATTGCAATCTCCTGTGGGCAGGGATCCCCCTCCCTTTTCTCATGTTATTCTTCAAAACTACATTTCAGAAGGTAGTCAAGTTGTAGGGATGCCAGCCTCCAGGTGGGACCTGAAGATCCCCTGGAATTACAGCTCATCTACAGACTACAGAGATCAGTTCTTCTGGAGGAAATGGATGCTTTGGAGGGGACATTGTACTCCATTGAGGTCCTCCACAGGCTCCATCCCCATATCTCCAGGAGTTTCCCAACATGGATCTGGCAACCCTACCCCCCCCATCCCCTGTGGGTGGCCAGGAGGGACCTGGCAACCCTACCAAGTAGGTCTGCAGTAGAAGGGCAAGGTTCAAGTCCACTATCACCTTAGAGACCAAGAAAGGTTTCATAGTATAAGCTTTCAAGAGTCAAAGCTGCCTTCATCAGATACAGTAGGATATAGTTAAGAACATAAGAACATAAGAGATGCCAATGTTGGATCAGGCCAAAGGCCCATCCAGTCCAACACTCTGTATCACACAGTGGCCAGAAATACCAGTGCCATCAGGAGGTCCACCAGTGGGGCCAGGACATTAGAAGCCCTCCCACTGTTGACCCCCCCCCCAAGCACCAAGATGACAGAGCATCACTTGCCCCAGAGTCCCTATCTATACCTTGTGGCTAATAGCCACTGATGGACCTCTGCTCCATATGCTTATCTAATTCCCTTTTGAAGCCGTCCATGCTTGTAGCCGCCACCACTTCCTGTGGCAGTGAATTCCATGTGTTAATCACTCTTTGGGTGAAGAAGTACTTCCTTTTATCCGTTCGAACCCGACCGCTCAGCAAATTCATGGAGTTTCTTGCTGTATTTGACAAAAGGGGCTTTGACTATGGAAAACATATACTTGAAAAACTTGTTGGTGTCTGAGTAGGATTGCCATCCCCCCGATGGGGGTGGGGTTCCCCCCAATTTCAGGGGGCCCAATCTGCTGACCGCCAGCTGTTTGGTGGGGGAGCCCTGCCCCCAAAGAGCCCCATCACACATTGGATGCTCTAGCATTTGGGTTAAAACTCTATGGTGCCCAGCACGATGACATCACTTCCAGCACGAAGCACACATGCCAGAAGAACCTGGGATCAGGCAGGAGTACCCCCATCGGCAGCCAGGTAAGACCTGGCAACCCGGTGTCTGAGGTGTTGTCTTGTATCTAGCTGTTTTAAAGCTACGAACAGCAATAACATTTT